AGCAGCGAATGACAGGCTGCTACAACAATGTCAGAAGAATCAAAAGCGTTTTACGTACCAGCGCATACAACGGATGCTGAAAACGAAAAAGGAAGAAGGACCAGAGGAAGTTGCATCGCCCGAACCCGAAGAAGGTGAACCCGAAGCAGCGCGAATAGTTGTCATTTCATTAGCAGAGAAAGATCACTTCGTGAGAGCTCGATCAATGCTGTGGAAAAGTGTTCAATGTGATTGCGAGGCATGAGGCAAACCTTTTAACGCCCTCATCGATACTGGCTCCTCTGAGGTCGCCATTTCATTAGACACCGTAAAGAGAACGGGATGACTCAATTCGATTTTCCCTCAATCTGGCAAGGACCAATATGTCTCTGCCGACGAGGAAGCAATGAATATTGTAGGAATCATCGAGAATGTGGCCGTAAAAGTTGGACGAGTACACGTCCTCGTTAACGCTTTAGTCATAGATGTGCAATCATATTCGGTATTGTTGGGATTGCCTTGGGCAATGGCGGTAGGCGTCCATCTGCATTTCGATTCCAAACAGTTGGTGCTCTCGCAAACCGGAGGGAAACCTCAGACGGTTTCGTTGCGGATTTCAATGTGGGCAGTAAAAAGGAATCCCAACCCTGCTCGGATAGGGATGATTCAAGGTCCCGATCACGAGGAGTCTTCATCCACGGATGACAGTAGTGGATTTGAAGAACAGGAGTGCGAGGAAGAGATACCTAGCGAGAGCAAATGGAAACACCTGGTCCAACTTTTCGAACACGAAACCCCCGAGGAGTTTCGGATGATCCCCAGAGCCGCCCGAACCTTCCATCAGGAAGACGGCACGCTTGCGCCTATGGAAACCCAGGTCTATCCTTCGATCTTTCTCGGAGAACCCATTTTGCAAATATCTGACTTGACAGACGATTTGGAACCCCCTCGCACCTTGTACGAGGGAACACTTTCTCTTCGAGCACGCTATCAACAGGCGAAACAATATCTGGATGTTTCTGTTTCCCCTCCAAGGTCACTGCTTACGACAGGAGCGACCATCGCTCTGATTAAACAAGAAGCCGGAGCTCCTGTTGATGATGTGCCCGATCTAATGCAGGAAATGGTGGATCTAACGGGACTAACAGTGGAAGGAACCTCGGCTGATTCGGAAACTGATGCTGAAGCTAAAGAGACAGAGATGATTAGCCCCGCTGAATCCCAGATGATCGCGACTGTATTTTCTGTCCGCACTAGCAGCTCTATTTTCTCTAGTGTCCATAACCGACGGGATCGGCCTGCTGATTGGATCGATATGCCTCTTGAAATACCCGATGGACCAACCGTCACTCTACCCGATCACGTTCCCCTGGAATTCCGACGATCACTAATTAACGTCTTGAATGGGTACGTGGAGGTATTGAGTGTGCGAGATAATGATATTGGGCTGTCTAATGTGATCGAGCATGCCATCCTAACGGGGGATCATCCACTCATTAGATGCGTTCCTTATCGATACTCGTCAGCCCAATGGGCGGCCGCGTTTCAGCGGATCAAGGAATTTGAGGCTAATGGATGGATCGAACCCGCAATAGGACCTTGGTCGTTTCCTGTGGTAATCGTGCCCAAAAAGGCCGAAGGGATTCGCATATGCATCGATTATCGAAAGCTGAATGATATCACGATCAAAGATGTGTATCCCCTTCCCCGGATTGATGAGTTGTTGGATGCAATTGGGAGTGCTCGATTTTTCAGTAAGTTTGATGTTCGGCATGTGTTTCATCATCTTCTGGTTCGAGAGGAGGATCGTCCGAAAACGGCATTTGTGTTATTCGAAGGTACCAGGCAATGGGTCCGATGTCCGATGGGCATCTGCAATGCTCCCACAACCTTTCAGCGAGCCATGAATATGGCTTTCCAGAACTTTATGCGGAAGACACGGCTCGGCCAGAGCATTATCAATTATTGCGTGATCGTGTACATGGATGATATTCTTGTGTATTCAAGTTCCTACGAGGGGCATGTGCAGCACATCGAGTGGACGCTGCACGCTTTGAGAGATGCTGGTTTCAAGGTGTCGCTCGAGAAATGTCAGTTCTTTCTCACCACCATTTCCTTTCTGGGACACGTGTTGACGGACCAGGGATTCAGACCGGAACCGCAAAAGGTGGCAGCCGTGAGAGACGCGCCTGTGCCCACGACTATCACGCAAGTTCGTGCCTTTCTGGGCCTGGCCTCATACTACCGAAGGTTTATCAAGGGCTTCGCGGCTATTGCGGGTACCCTCACGAATCTGCTGAAAAAGGATCAACCGTTGATCTGGACGCCAGAGTGTGACCAGGCTTTCTCGAAACTCAAGGCAACCCTTTTTTTGGCCCCGTTCCTTATAAGACCGGATCCTGCGAAGCCTCTTGTCCTCATCACGGACTGGCAGCCGGAGGCAATCTCAGCGATCTTGGCCTAGGTGGGACCCGACGGACTCGAATGCATGGTGGAATACGCGTCTAAGTCGGTGCCTGCTTGCAAGCGCAATTATGCCGCCCCGACAAGAGAATGCTATGCAACTCTGTGGGGGATCAGCCACTTTCGAGCCTATCTGTACGGGCGGAAGTTCACACTGGTTACCGATCATGAGCCACTATTAGCCCTGAAGAAGTATAAGGATTACTCGGGCATGATCGGGAGATGGGCGACGGTGCTACAGAGCATGGACTTTGACATTCGTCATCGGAAGCACGAGAGGCACGAGAATGCTGACGGGTTGACACGACTGCACCGACCCGAGAAGGTCCTCAAGAGCGAAGAAGTGATTCCACGGAACGAGCCAAAGGAGAAGAGCGGACCGCGATACGGACAAGTGGAATTTCTGTCGAAGGAGTGAGTGACACATAGCTTCGCTCTGCCCTCTCTGCAGCCCTGCTCACTCTTCTTCTCCTCCTCTTCTATCATGGCTACTCCACCTGTCTCCGCGACCCCTTCTTCCCCTACTGAGTCCGGCCCTCTCGCCTCATCGGCTTTCTTCGCCACCCTTCCCGATAAATTTTGCTATTTTTGTACGTGTATTACGCGGGTATATGGGGTGAATTGCCATCCCTTTGAGACCGGATTCATTAAGTGGGTAAACTGCGCCACGTGCGTCAATCGTGCACACAGTGCATGTGTTCGATATCGAACGAGTAACAAGGAATGGAAATGCCCTCTGTGTAGGACGGACAAACTGCCTACTAAAGTTCGATTCGAGGGTGCCCGTACGAACGGCCCTGAATACAACGAGAAATACCGACGAGCGGAGGTCTGGACGGACAAAATCCTATTGGCTAAGCTGGCTGGGTTACCCTTGGATCATCTTACTAAGCACAACAGATGTCGGGCTACCGAGAGATCTCGGGATTATCGATGGATCAACGGTCACCTAGAAAAGCGTAAAACTGACGGATCGGGTTTTTGGTTGACGGTTCCTCATCCGTTTCAGAGATATGATTGGACCCGATCTGCTCACGAGGAACAGACCGCCCACTTCGCGATACGTGTCACAGAGGCAACTATAGATCAGAATCGGTGGTTCTAGTCTAACATACGGGACGACGTCAGATACGTAGTCGCCAACTGTCTGGTCTGTGCTGTTGATCGTGCCCCTATACGGGGACCAAACACGATAGTACCGATAGAAGTAGAGCGCCCCTTTCAGCGAGTCAGTATGGACATGACAGATATCGAGGTGCCACCTGGCCCAAACCGTTGCGAATATTCCATCCTTTTAGTTTTAATAGACCATTTTTTCAAATACATCGAGGTATATCCCTGTAAGACCCGTAAGGCCGCAGAAGTAGCCACGTACATCGATCGGTTTCTCTATACTCACCTAGATACAGAGGAAATTCTAACCGATAATAGGTCTGAATTTAAAGGCGAGGTAGAGGAATTACTCGCACAAAGAGGCATTACGCTTCGACATACGGCACCCCACGTTTCCCAGTCCAACGGGTTGGCCGAAAATGCCAATCGAATGATTAAGACTGCCCTCCGTAGAAATCTAGCGACATGTGACACGCATCCCTGGCCCGAGATCGTATACCAAATTGTCGGAATTCACCGGGCCACCCCTCATGAATTCACAGGGTTCAACCCCTTCCAACTTCGCACCAATAGCCTCCCATGCGTCGATTATCGGGGCAACTCGGAAATTGCCGAAGCCGGGGGTAGAGACACGCGTGCCGCCCTTAAGGCCAAAGCCAAAAGGTATGCCGATTTGCTGGAACGGGCCGTTCTGAAGCTAGCCCGAAAAAGACAGAAAATAACTGATCTAGCCCACGGAAGACAAGTTCGTAGCTACGAGGCCCGAAATGGGAACGCCGGTCCCCAACATCAATATAAATTAGGGGACCTGGTGCAGGTACGTAAATGTGCATGCAACCGGAAACTCGCTCCCAAGTTTTCTGGCTGTTTCCGCGTTGTCGAGCTCGGACCTAACGGTGCCAACACGGTGCGCATCGCACCCGAGGCAAGTGCCAGCCATAACTCTGTCCCCATCGTCCGCCATACTTCTTACATCCGTCCACTCCCTTCCTCTGATCTCCCTCCATCTCCCTCATCTGCTGACAAAGAGGGCGAAG